CGGATTACAAGATACTCTTTTGTAAAAAATTCCGGACTATAAGCAGAGGACCCTTAAGCAGCACTCTATAATCCGACAAATACGATGGTCCGACACTGCCCTGCAAAACGTTTGTCGGATAACCGGGGGTCCACTGTATGTATATAATATAAAGAATCATCATTTGATCTATAATTTGTCATATTACAAGGTACTCTTTTGTAAAAAAATTTCTATTACCGTCTCGTGTTACTATTACATCAACTACCTACCAATAAAGTCCCGTCAAAATCGGTCCAGACATTTCAGAGATTAGCTGAAAGAGAGAATGTAATAAATGTTATTTTAGTGTATGTACCGTATTTATATTCATATGCATGTAGTAAAAAACGATTATTTCAATATTACAAACAGACACTCCTATTTTATTTACCAATTTACAAAATCTTATTTCCAATTTTATACGGACGAAGAATTTTTTTTTGATGGGACTTTTTTTGGCAAGTAACTGATGTAATAAGGAGTAACTTAGATTACTTTTATTTTAGAAAAATAAAGTTAAATTCCACGCGAACGAAGTCGCGGGAACAGCTAGTTTATAGTAATATCTGCCGCTTCCTTTGTGGCGACATCCTTTTGAACTATTTTTTTTTCTCGTACGCTGGTATTAATTATTCAGATCTCTTGTTAAACTAATTTAAAACATTTGTAAGCTACTATGACAGCATGGGAATCGAACCTAAGCCGGGCATTACACAAACGGCACGGACCCCTTTGTCCACACAGTTGGAGTGTCTTTTTGTATAACCCCTAATTTAACAGGACATAATATTACGTGCGCCCTACTTAAATATTATGCAAAATACACAGAGTAATTATTAATAGAGACTGACTATAGTCTGTTTTTAATCAAGGAGACAAATTTGACATTACCGATGTTGCCAGGTTCTTGCAATTTTTAAATAGGGTTGTGGCACTATTTTTTTGGTTGAGGCAATATTGGAATTTAATGTTAATTACCTTTTTTTTTATTCTACCTGTTAACCCTTAATTCGACGGAGATTTTTGTAGCAAAAGATTCTGATTTTTTTAGTAGTCGCATTTTTGGATTTGAAGTAAATACAGGAAAAATGTTTAAAAAAATTAGTGCTGTACAGTTTTTGATGAAACACATGTCCGTCACAGCGGACATTGTCACACGTATTTTTCGTACGAAATAGAACGGAGCAGAATTTTAACAAGTTTCAATTACAGCTGAATCAGAATTGTTATTAATGAAATTAAGAAAGAATATGTGTTTATTCGGTACATACAATCGAAAGCAATATTACACAAAAAAAAGCCGTTCTTAACGACTGATTTACTTTCATTTAGTTATTTTAGCAGTTAATTGTGTATTTCATATTTTGACTCTAATTTGGTAGTTTGTATTCGCACATTTCAACTTTAAAATGTTGTACTTTTGGATAAGCACTTTTGAAGTCCAATTTTTTTAATTCTACATCCCATTGGGAAAGCAGACTCATCACAAGAAGAATAAGAAAGAAAGTTGCGTGTCGCTCTTTTAAATAAATGTTATTCCGCCATTATTCTCTAGCATCTTTGTTTGAATTCTACCTCTTATTTGGAATGCAGACTCATCACGAGGAGAACTAGCAAGAAACTTGCGTGGTACTCTTTTAAATAAAAGTTATTCTGCCACTATTCTGAAGTATTTTAGTTTTTATTCTATCTCTTATTAGGAATGCAGACTCATCATAAGGAGAACGAGTAAGAAACTTGCGTGGTACTCTTATAAATAAATTTTATTCTGCCATTACTTTGGAATACCTTTTTTTCTACCTCTTGCAACTCTTGCAATTTTACCAAATATCAAACTCATCACAAGAAGAATACGAAGGAAATTGCGTGTCTCTCTTTTAAATATTTATTATATTGCCACTACTCTGGAGTATCTACTACATTATTACTCTGTGTATTTCAGTCACGCACGCGCCATATGACATTTGCGGATTTGATGTCAGTCCGAGTAATATGGAAATGGACTCTTGTAACATACGGTATCTATGCGTGGCATGATTTTTAATGATATCATAACAATTTGTTACATTTGTGACGTGGTTAATTAATTAGAAGGTTTTTTAATAACTTATATCATTTCAAAACAATATTTATATTACCTAAATATAAAACGTAAATAAGTTAAAGTAGTTAAACGGAACTAAAGTTAGTTATTTGTTTTATGTTAATTACGTAAGGTTTTATAACAAACTACCAGAGACGTGTAGTTTTACAACTTTCTGAAACAGAGTCTGTTCTAAATATGCCTGGAAAAAGATTCAAAAGTCGTATAAAACACTTAAACAATTAAATTACCCGACAAATGTTAACTAATAAATAATTAGTGCCATTCCATATTACAATCCTTACTGTTGCGTCCGCGCAGTCATAATTACTGCTCTCTCTGTCTTTTCAGTTAGCGATGTATGGGACAGCATATAGTCCTAAAAGAAAACCAAAATGGCGTGCAGAAAGGGGTCAACGATATTTGGAATTTTTTATTTCACTGAATTGCAAATGAGCTGAAGGCTCACCTGGAGGATATTACGTTTGCCGGCCTCGGTGGTCTAGCGGTTTAGCACACCGCTTTACTCCCGATGGTCGCTGGTTCGATACCTCGTACGGTGCAAACATTTGTATTCATGAGTATGATTGTTTGTACCTGTGTATTTCCGAACCGATACGATATTGAAACCTTCAAGAAAATAGCCTATTCCTTTTTAAAAGGCCGACAACGTACTTGCAATTCCTCTGGTGTTCCGGGTGCTCATGGGCGGCGGTAATCACTTACCATCAGGTGAGCCGCATGCTCGTTTGTCCCCTGTATTATAAAAAAAAATTACATTTCATTTAATTTACATAATATCTTTTTCAATAATAGCCTATGTGTTATTCTTATATATAAGCTATATTACTGGAAAGTACCATCAAAAATAGTTGAGTAGATTTTGCATGAAAGAGTAACAAACATACATCCATCTATTCACGTATACCTTACAAACATACAAAGATAAATTTAAAAATGAATCTGTATTATTGTAAACATGTACAACATTTATTTAAAAAGAATACGAGCTGAGTTTCTTGTCAGTTCTTCTCATCTCGAAATCATTCCGAACTGACGGTAGATTTGACATATCATAGGAGTCTGTAATAGACCTACATGAATAAAGATATTTTGAATTTGAATTTAAACTTTCGCGTTTATAATATTAGTAACATTCCTTTAATTTCCATTATTTATTAATCTATTGTGACAATGTCATTGTCACATTTAAATCTGAATTAATCTATTCATTTTTATGACATATACACGCGTCAAAGAACACTCGAATGACCTGAATATTGGAAACAAAACGTTACAATACATTATTGTAATAAAATTACAATAAAACAAGATGTTTGGCTCCCGTTCTATTAAGGGTTGGATCGAACCCTTCAGCACTTATTAGCATTTCAAAAATAGGGGCCACTCTGTTGATACAAGTTTAATTTTACGACTAAAAAGGAATATGTGGACTCTATTACGAAAGCAGTAATGGTCTTAATTGTAAATTGTAATGTTAGGGTATAAGTTGGAATATTTTTGAAGGGTAAAATATTAGTAAAAAATATGACACTCGCGTATCGAAGCATGAAAGATTTAGGTCGACTTTACAATATGACACGCGGGGATTGTGTTTTAGATAAAAAAAACCAAAACAAGTTAGTCCTAACATATGAAATTGGCGTTTTATAAGGGAATAAACGAAAGTAAATTTTTTTCTTTTTTTAAAATAAAAAAAGAAATTTCGACTAAAATAAAAGTAGCATAAGTTACTCCCTATTACATCAGCTACCTGCTAAAAAAAATCCCGTCAAAATCGGTTCAGCCATTTCAGAGATTAGCCGGAACAAACGGACAGACAGACAAAAATTGTAGAAAAGGTTATTTTGGTGTATGTACCGTATTTATATTCATATGCATATAGTAAAAAACGGTTATTTCAATATTACAAACAGGCACTACAATTTTATTTATATGTATAGATAAAATTATTCGTGTTAAGATGCAGTTAATAATAGAATATTTTTTTATTGATATTTGACGGCCTCTGTGGTCTCGGTTTAACACACCGCTTATTTCCACCGGTTGCGGGTTCGATTCCTTGTACAGTGCAAAGAATTGAATTCACGAGTATGATTGTTTGTATCGGTCTGCGTGTTTTATATTATGTACGCATTTACAAACAAATATATGTAATTATATCAGTTGTCTAGTACTCATAAAACAAGCACTGCTTAGCACAAGGACTCGATGACGCCGTCTGTGTTGTCCAGGGATAGTTTTTTTATGCCGCAATGGTGGCAAACAAGCATACGGCCGATCTGATAGTAAATGAAGATTATTACAGTAATTCAGTTACATACACGGCTGAAATACAAAAGCTGTCGACCTTACCCATACTTATGACACATTTTCCTGAGGCAAACTTTGTGTTCATCATCATCATCATCATCATCGCAGCCCGGAAGACGTCCACTGCTGGACATAGGCCTCCCCCAAACTTTGTGATAATTAAGACTACTTAGTTCTCTGGAATGATCTTGCCATTTAGTATTATCATCAAGTGGTATCACGTGATAACGTGATATACTGTTTCTGTATATAGACGACAGTAAAATTAATTACAGGTTACGTATCAAATACAATAGCTTTCCGATACGAGCTCCATGTATATTTAGATCAGTTTCTGTGGCAATGCACTAATGCATTTTGGCAACAGATCGCTTCCTCATAATGCGTTACGGCTCGCAAAACAACAGAAACGGGACATTAACACTTCAAAATAAACTTTACTAACTTGTGAGCACGATGCAAAATCGTTTGACAGATCTCAAATGACATTTTCAAGTAGGTATCACACGTGAATATTACGTGACAAAAATAAAGTGGGTGAGATAATTCGGTCAGAAGTGAACTGGATTTAGAAACGGCCAGACGTTGCGATTGGAGTAAAATTAAATGATTGAGGTGATAATATTTTTGTGTGCAGTGAAATTAAAATGAGCAGCAAGAAAGGCAAAGGGAAACGGCCTAACAAGCCACCTAATCTAAATCCACCTCAAGTAAAAGAAGAGATAGCACAGGAGAAGGAAGAAAAATTACATGTCAGTGATATAGTTGAAAGTGAAAATGAACAGCGAGTCCCTGAAATTATTAGTGATATTCCCAATATCGCAACTGAGGTAAAGGATGACAGTAATACACCTAAAAAACCGAAGAGAAATAGAGGTAAGAAGAAAAAGCAAGATAAAGATGCGGAGACAGAAGAGACTAATGTTGACAAATTACTCGACTCAGTTTTAGAACAAACTATACCTGTAGTTGTAGATGAGATAAAAGTAGAGGAAATTGAGTTAATGAATGAAGCAGCTACAGCTCCAGAAATACCTGATATAACGCCTACAGCACGAAAGAAAAAAAACAAAAATAAGAAAAACTTACATGAACTGCAACAATTTGAGGATTTGGTTTCAGAAAAAGAGAAAGAGGTAACAGAGATTAGTAAAAATAATACAAATTTAATACCAAGTGAATTGCTTAATACAGTTAAGACAGTTGAACAAACAAAAAATCCAGAGTTACCTGTTGAAACAGTGGAAGAAATAAAGCCGTCTAAGAAGAAAAACAAAAGGAAAACACATCATGACTCAGATAAAATACTTCAAAAAGAAGAACAATCTTATACCACAACTACTCAAAACCAGTTAAAAGAAGAATCAGAAGTATTTATAGGAGAAGATTTAAGTAGCCAGAATATAGAAAGTATTAATGAAGAAAAGAAAGCCCAGAAAATTGAAAAGAAATTAGAAGAAATTTCAGCAAGTATATTAACAAAGGAACATCCAGAGGAAGCTGTAAAAGATACATGTAAAGTTGAACAGACAAATACTCCAGAGTTGCCTCATGAAGCAGCAGAAGAAGTAAAGTCGTCTAAGAAGAAAAACAAAAGAAAAAAACATGATTCAGATATCTTACATCTAAAAGAAGAGCAATCTTGTACCACAACCATTCAAAATAAATTAAATGAAGAATCTGAATTATTTATAGCTGAAGACTTGAGTACGGAAAAAATACAAGATCAAAAAATGGAAAATAAATTAGAAGAAATTCCATCTAGTTTTCTTACACAGGAAATTCCAGAGGAAGTAGTTTTAAAAGATACAATTAAAGATATAGGTACTAAAAATAAGAAAAAGAAAAAGGATAAAAGAAATATTTTAAAAGAGGATGAACTACAAATTGGTCAAGAAATTGGTAAACATTCTGAAACAGAAACTGAAGACATAAAATCTTCATCTACTGATTTAATATCATCTATTCATTTTGATGAAGAGAATACAGATAATAATTTGAAAAAAGATGAAGCATTGCAGCAACTAGAAGAAAATATCCTAAAACCTAAAGCTAAAATCATTAAGCCCGTAGATAAGAAAAGTGATAAAAAGTCAGATCAATCATTTAAAGATAGTCTGCCGAAAGAAGTAATTGTTTCTGAAAGCCCATTAGATAAAACTATTACTTCATTAGAAGTAAAAGTTACAGAGTCCCATGAAAAAGATATAGCTACCACAAAAAGTATAAAAAGCTTAGATACTGGCAATGAATCTACGCCTACCAGGATAGAGAAGGTGAAGCAGAAAAGAGAGAAATCTCCTAAACTACCTACGGCAACAATGGACAAAGAAGTTATACAAAGTATTCAAGATGCACAGAAAGATATCATTCAGGTTTCTACAGATATAGCTACAGATATTCAGCTTAAAGTAACCAGCCAAACAGTTCAGCCTGAAACGGAACAATTTTTAAAGGAAAAACAAGAAATGTTTAAGGAAGTTGATAACCAACTTTTAAATAAATCTGAATTTAAAGACGATAGAACTTCACATGAAAGTAAAACAGATATTTTGCCAAAAACTAGCAAAGGAAAAAAGAACAAAAAATTGCCAAAACCGCCTGTCAAGCTTGAAGATGTTCAAAAGAAATTGGAAGAGAGTAAAAACAAAGATGAAGCAACTGAAAATAAAGAGAAAAGTAAGGCAGAATCAGGCGATGTTAGTGAAGAAGTGTTTTATGACTTACCATCTCCTGACGAAATAGATATCAAGAGTGTTAAAGCTGATGAATCGGAAGGATCAGTTAGTGAAATAACCCCTGACTGTATACAATATCCACGAGCTATTAGTCAACAGAATACAGATAATAATAACAATACAGTAATACAAGAACTTTTAATAACAGAAGAATCAAATTTACAAATACCCAATATTCTACCTGATACGCCATTTATAGATAATTCGAAAGATATATTAACATCACCCATATTATTAGTTCCTGATTTAGAAATAGCTTCCGGATCAGATGTATCTACGCCTACAGTCAAAAATACAGATGAGAAACAAGAAAAGACTGATCTGAAATCTAAAATGATAGAAGTTAATCAAGATATGGAAGAATTAAGATTATCTATAGAAAAATCACTCGCTGAGCTAACAAGTTTAGAAAAAAGTGATGATAAAATTGAAAAAACAGATCTAGAACAAAATCAACCTATACCTGATGAAAAATGCACAGGAGATGATTTCATTGATCTTATTGAAGAAATTGAGGATAAAGAACGAGACGTACAAAGTACTGTAATAAGTGAGGAAATTAACGTATTACCTACAGTAGACGACAATAAAATCATTGAAACTATTCCATTTGAAAAGGCAATGGAGAGCTTACCTACAAATTTAGAAGATAAAAGTGAAATAAAATCTACAATCTTTGAAAATATTGCTACTGATAGTAATGTGTCCAGTACAACGCATACGTTACCCACAAGTGAAAATAGAAAGGACAATAAAGGTAAAAGCAAATCGAAAAAAAAAGGAAAACAAGAACAAGGGAGTAATTTAAATCAATCAAAAACCACTGGTGCTACAAGTAGTGACAAATGTAGCTCAGAAAGCAGTAAAACCGAACAAAAAAGTGAACAAAAAACTGACAAGTCTCAAGAAAAAAGTAAACAGCAATCAGTAAATATAATTGACGATTTAACAGAGGCTAATAATACGAGTAATGATAAAAATTTAGTCAATTTTGAGCCCATAGATAATTTTGAAGACGCAATGACGTCAAGTTTAGATGACGTAAATAAAACCTTTGAAATAATCGCTGATGATGCTCAAAACTCTCAAGTGAACTCAGAGATTAACATCAATGTCTCAGTAAAAGAAAAAAATAAAGAGCCAAATGAAAAAATTAACCCTGTGTCGCAGCCAAAAAACTTGTTAGGCCACCCCGATATTCCTGTATCATCGAATAGAACTGATTATAAAAAGGAAAAAAATAAACCACCGAATGCAATACTAGCAAAAGTGAAAATAAAAGATTCCGTGCAGATAGAAAATAGGAAGCAATCCAAAGAATCTCAGACTAATAATATAAAAAATTTAATGAAAAAGAAAACAATTGATGAGCCTTTTTCTTCGATGATTAATGAAACTGATGAATATATTTACAAGTATACTTTTAGGAAGGTTTTTTTGCCTAATGTTTGTCATATATGTAAGAAAGATTTAAAACAATCCAGAATTTCGTGTAGTTATTGTAATTTGTTATTCTACTGTTGTCCAAAACATAAAGATGAAGGCTGGGCCCAACATCAAGCTCTCTGTTTCGCTGTATCTACAGTAGGACATTTAAGAGGTATGTTATGATATTACTTAATCTGATTATGATATTTTTATGTACTTTTGATGTCACTAAGGAATTTATTGTTCTTGTATATTAATATTTTTTTGTATATATGTAATTACTAGCTATGCCAGCGGTTGCACCTGTATGAAATTTGTAGCCTGTGCTATTCTGATGTATAAGCTATATTATTGTAAAGTTTCATCAAAATCCTTTCAGTAGTTTTTGTGTGAAACAGTAACAAACATCCATCTGTCCATCCGGACTCAAAAACTTTCGCGTTTACACTTAAATGTATGCGGGATATATTTTTCTGCCAATTTCAACAAGACCAGCATTTCTAATTAATTTTTACCATATATTGATTTTATTTTAGATGAATCTGTTTTAACTTTGATTAGATTCCATGTTACTCATGTAGGTACTAATTTCTTATACATAATGTAAATTATATTTCAAATAAACTTAAAATCCTCGGAATTTTGTTATACTGAAATACTATCTGCATCATCTCAGTGATAATATTTTTTATAGATCAAAAACACATATACGCAGACGCGAGAAACATAACGGGACAGAACTACAGACTCCTCCGAATGCAAATGATAGTGGCCTGCGAGAAGGTACTCAAGAGGAAATTAGTGCCTTGGGAACAGGAAATGCTGCTATACCCGAGAATATGTTCCGATATAGGCTGCAGGGAGTGGAGACAGAATATGTTGGAGGACTGCGACGGATGTGGGCAGGTGAAATAAACACTTTAAATGATCGAGTTAATATACGTTTTAGCATTTCAATATATAAACTCATGTATTTTAAGTTCTACCAAAACCCACACATGTGGTAAAAATAGTAGCGTTAAAGTCTAAATATCTGTAAATGGTAAAGGTAAAATAATTTACATATAGATTATTTACGATATTAAACAAACAAGAATTAAATAGCTACTTAATAATGAAATAATTTAAAATTTATGCATATTATGAAAAACAAAAATGATTTTTTTACTTAATGGATATTTTATTATTATATTCTATTTGGCTATTATGAGATACTTGTTAGATATGTAACACAAATATTATTTGCGGAAACCTGACCGCTACTAGAAGAGTTATAACCTTCTCTATTGATGATACTATTCAAATATTATTGAGTCTACACTCATATTACGACACGTGATTTGCCTCTGAATGTGGCATCATCAAGCATTGAATAAAGTTCGAATATAGCTTGGAAGCCTAGTGTTGACTGTTCGGCGATCAAACTACGACGGCAGTTCCGTCCTCTCTCGTGGTATGTGGTAACGGTCGCTTATATACATGTACAATACTATTTTAGCAGTAGACAATGGGTAACAAAGGTTAGGATGATATAAATCCCCAAGATTTAGTTTTCAACTAAAATACTGTTGTAGGTATCCTACTGCCGAGATCATCCAGAACATTTACCAAAATCCCATCAGCGATGGTGCAAGTCGTATTCCTTGTATCAGAAGTTGGTCTGTTACCAGCAGACACAAGGCAGGCTGGAGCCAAAACTTCCGAACAGGGTGATGATTGATCAGTACTATATACCTGAGAAGATTAATGAAGTTCTTGCCACCATTTACAAAGATAAAATTGGTAAGTTGAAGGTACGCCCAAGAGGTAGCGAAGCCATTGTGAGGCTGTTTTGAAATTTTGAACCTTGTAATCTAACCTATAGCAAAAAATCTTAGTCGAGTCAATTTATCTGCCCGTCTCTCCGGTGAAGAAGACACCAAAATCAAACTACCAAAAATGAATCCGAAAATGGTAGTAGGCTCGCCCACTTGGTATATTTTGAATCCAAAGTAGCAACTTTGGATTAAAAGTATACCGAGCGAAATATGGACTTGGACAAGTCAAATGTTGCATTTACCATAACATCGTCAGTTACCAATACCTCTGACTGGGGAGGAGAAAATTGTTAGTTATGTGGACTGATGACCTCATTGCTAGCAATGGACCATGTCAAGTTGAATTTCACTTCATTTCTGGTAACCATTTTGATAAATTCATGCTCATCCTATCATCCTCCATTGATGCCCCGCCAGCATATACCGTTAGCGCAGACGGGTACACCATATCATCCATTCAAAAAATCCTTCTGACTACACCACCTGGTGTAATAGTCGTTATGGTTGTTTGTTTTGTTATATTGTTCGAATTGTTATTAGATATGAATGATGTTGAATATGCAGCGTTGACACAACTAGCCACAGCACCACTCACGACCGCGTACAGTCACCAGTTGTATACCAGCAAGTTGAATTCTACATACGCCAATGGTGTTGTTAAGGTCAGTATCTATTCTTACTGTTTGTACCTGCATTCTGCGTGAAGCAGCAGAATAAATTCAAGCCATTATTAAAAATAACTTTACTTGAGTAATATCTATTTTAATTTTAGTCTAATTATTATCATAATATTAATACTAGATTTAAAGACAAACTTGCTGTCCCCAAGTATCGTTTAAAAAAAGTCAATAGGTCTCTTATGGGAATAGGTATAAAATTTTACAATAAGATACCAAAGGATATACTGGAATTACCCTTAAATAAATTCAAAACATCTGTTAAATCATATTTACTGAGCAAGGCCTATTACTCACTAAACGATTACTTGAATGACGAGCGTGCATGGCAATAGTTTTCATGTTCGGGATTTTCATTTAATGTTAGACATAGACACCTATATTAGACCTATGCATTGTAAATAAACTGGCTGGCCTTAAAAAAAAGTATTTCAATTGAGTTTCTTGCCAGTTCTTCTCAATTGGATCTATATACCGAACTGGACGGTAGGGAAAAAAATTAAAAATGTAAAAACTTGACGTTCATAAGCGGCTAAAATGTCCTACATGAATAAATGATTTTTGTATTTGAATTGTAATTTGAATATCTTGTAATATTTGAGAGGACATCGTTAGTAAACGAGATAGTGGCGTAATTTTATGTACTAGTGATACCTAGTGGTCGAAATTCGACTATAATAAATTGAAATTATAAGTTTGAACATTATTAAGATTCTATTAACAAAGATTATGCTTCTATGAGTGAGTGTATGAAATATATAGTAGTGTGTCTAATGTTTCTTTTATTGATATAATATATTTTATGGATATACTACCTGTCCCGGCAAAGGTTGTTTTGACTTATATTAAAAAAAAAAATTTAGGAGTGGACTACTCCTAACATTTAGGGGAATGAAAAATAGATGTTGGCCGATTCTCAGACCTACTCAATACGCTCACAAAATTTCATGAGAATCGGTCAAGCCTTTTCGGAGGAGTATGGGTACGAAAACTGTGACACGAGAATTTTATATATAAGATTTAAAAATATTATCATTTTGCACTCCTTTTCTATACAAACTATAAGTGTTCGAATTTTCATATTCTTCCGTCTGCGCTCTTTTCGTGAAAAGGAGTCAAAATTTTGGTTCGCCTTTTTAAGAAGGAATTAGCTCTTTTCTTCAATGTTTCAATATCGTATCTATTCGGAATTACAGATAAAATTATTGATCTAGTTTTGACAGTATTAACACTTGGAGATTTAATTGCTATGTTGTTCTTATTATTTATACTATATATATACTAATATTATAAAGCTGAAGAGTTTGTTTGTTTGAATGCGCTAATCTCAGGAACTAATAGCTCGAATTGAAAAAAAAAATTTTGTCGGATAGTTCATTTGTCGAGAAAAGCTTTAAGTTATATAATATTACGCTACGACCAAGAGAAGCGGAGCTGCAATGAAAAATATAGCAAATGAAACGCAGACGAAGTTGCGTGGCTCAGAGTCAAATATATATAACTCAAAGGTGACTGACATAGTGATCTATCAACGCACAGCCCTAACCACTGGACGGTGGGGCTGAAATTTGGCATGCAGGTAGATGTTATGACATAGGCATCCGCTAAGAAAGGATTTTGATTAATTCTACCCCCAAGGGGACTAAAATAAGGGATGACAGTTTGTACGAAACTTTGTCAATTTTAAACCGATCGGGCTGAGACTTTGCATGCAGCTACTATGACGTAGGCTTCCCCTAAGAAAGGATTTTGATAAATTCCACCCCTAAGGGGATAAATTAGCGCGAGCAAAGCCGCGGGCTAAAGCTAGTGGGTAATAAAATAATAATTTCCATACAACAGAAGTCATCATTCACAATCCACGTAGTCGGCGCTGAGTTACAGTTCGAAGCGGATGTATTGAACAAATGGGAGGTGTTCTTCTTGCATCTACGACCTGACGTCCAGCACCTAAGGATAGTACTGATAGCGCCTGATTTAAATCCCTCCAACTTACCATTGGATCTGCTTCAGAAAATCAAGTACGTTAATTAAATAGATAGATATGTAGATAGAAAAATTCTTTATTCACAATTAAAGACACATAACATACATGTGATACAGAAAAAACACGATTCGTTCATCTGTTCAATCATTCGTACATTCATACGTTCATTCATTGGTTCATTATTTCGTTCATTCATTCTTTCATTAATTCGTTCATTCTTTCGTTAATTCATTAGCTCATTCATTCGTTCAAACATTCGTTTATTATTTCGTTCATTCATTCATTCAAAATCCATTATTTCGTAACAGTTGTGACTATACGTTTATTGTTTGTAGGCTTTGTGAAGAATGCCAGCAATACAAACGGCGGATGCTGTTCAACTTTGAGGATAAGAAGACGTATCACGAATACTATGACAGCATCGATTTCGCCACTCCAGATATAGGTAACGTTCTTTTTATTTCAATGACAATCCAACTTAGCTGATATGATGGTTCAAGACCATCTTTTCTCTAAACATGGTCAGCAGATATAGGTCAGTTATTATCACACTATTTACTAGTTAGGTAGACTGTAAAAAGTCGTCTTCGTGTGTAGGTTGTGTATTAGACGATATATAATAATAATCTCAGGACATTTTCCCACAGCGCCATCTAGACACTGACTGATACATAGATGTTTTTTTTTGTAAATACATACATATTATACATAGAAAACACCCAGACCGATACAAACAATCATACTCATGAATAGAAATGTTTGTGCCGTGCGAGGTACGAACCCGCGACCATCGGTCGTAAAGCGGTGTGTTAGACCGCTAGACCACCGAGGTCGTCATATATATATGATAACGTGATATCCGTAGTGCTGTTCTTAATGCTAATAAACGCGGAAATTAGTGAGTAGATGGTTGGATGGATTTTTGTTACTCTTTCATGCTAAGACTAATGAATGGATTTTAATGAAACTTTACATTAATACAGCTGAAATCAGAATAACATAGGCTATAAATATCACGCAGGTGAAACAGCAGGCTCAGGTAGTGTGTGTATAAAGACGAAGGTTACAAGTGGCAACCGTCGCTTTTACCACAGGTGGTATCAGCTTGTTCACCATTTTAATTATACAAAAGACTTCATACATAAGAGTATTTAGGTTGACAACCCTATTCATTATGTTGCCTCGTTGTTGTGTGATATATGCCAACCCTGTTGGCACTGCGTCAAGCATTTCTGACCTATATGACTGTATGTACGGCGTCCAGTGTGACACACGGTTGTCAACGAATTCAACAACTACTGTTGAATAATTTCAAATCTTGTTTGTTATTTGCTGGCTTTATGCTGAGTTAGTTGCTTATTGTTTTCTTGAAAAATAGTGTAGCTTTTGTATTGATTGCCGCATGCATCATTATGTAAAGTGTACTATAACTACCATTTAGTATTTAGTAGTTACTAGCCCGAGTGTACATGTATATATAAACCTACCTCATGAATCACTCTATCAATTAAAAACCGCTTCAAAATCCGTTGCGTAGTTTTAAAGATTTATCCATACATAGGGACGGACAGACAGAGACAGCGACTTTGTTTTATACTATGTAATGATGACGAGGTCGAGTGGATTGAGTAGATATGCTCACTAAAATGTCCAGACATGTGGCGGCGTGATGAGCCAGGTGAGCCCAGCCATTGGGCTTCCTAAAACATGGTCGAGCGTAGTGATGACTGGCTCGTATATAATACTCGTGAACGAGTGCTGCTTGTAGGGACTGAACTGCTCTAATCACTACGACTGTTTTAATCATAATGTGTATTTAATATCTGACCCTAATAAATTAGTGCTAGTTGATGGTTTATATTCGCAGGTTCGAATTGGAAATGTAAAGTTACAATTATTTAAAAGAGCAACACGCAAGTTTCTTGCTCGTTCTTCTTGTGATGAAACAGCTTTACAAATGAGCGGTAGATTGAAAGAATGATAACTATGACTATTCAAAAGTGCTTAAATTAAGTTTATTTGAATATATGATTTTCTATTCTATTAATATGAATGTGGATGGATGTAAAGGGAGGGGTTCCCCTAAGAAAAGATGAATGGATTGTGTGAAAGATGATATGAATAAAAGAAGAGTATGCTCAGATATGACGACCGATAGAGAGCAGTGGAAGAGTACGACACACCACCACAAATAATGGGATAAACGCAAGGCAATGATGATTCTATTCTATTAATCTTTGCGGCATATAAAGTAACTTTCTTTTCTTTTATTTGTTAATTTATTTTATCTGTACTTCGTGTATGCTGTGTTACAGTAATTGTTGAATAAAGAATTTACCTGTCTATCTATTCAAATGCAACATATGTAGTTGCCAAGGAATTGATATATTCGGAATGTCGACATATTGTCTCATACTTTGTCTGGGTATGCGACAATATGTCGACATTGACGGGTGTCAATATTGATGTATTTTGGCCGTGATGATATTGTTATCACTCAATGTAATGCCAACAGGAAGATTCGTACATTTATTCATTACATAATTTATGACTTAAGATTTAAAGACAAACTCGCTGTACCCAAGTATCGTTTAGAAAAAGTTAATAGGTCTTTTATTTTAAGCGTTACGCCTTCTCTATTGGTGATCAAATTCTGAATGTTATTGTGTTTATAATATTATACGTGTTTTGTCACTGAACGATTGATCATCATTAAATAGAGTCCGGATATAGCTTGAAAGCCGAGTTAGTGTTGACTAAACTGCGAATGCCACGGGTTTGTAGATAGTAGATATTTTAAAATTGTATGCCTATTACGAATATATATAAATAAGAATGTGTCGGTTATCTGTATGTAGTTCTTTTCACTATAGAACATCAAAACGCATCTTAATAATATTAAGATAAATTACGTACATAAAACTTTTTTCACCAAAATATGGACGATGTCGCCTTTAAAGACAAACTTGCTGTCCCCAAGTATCGTTTAGAAAAAGTTAATAGGTATACCCTTAAATAAATTCAAAACATCTGTTAAATCATATTTACTGAGCAAAGCCTATTACTCACTAAACGATTATATGAATGACGAGTGTGCATGGCAATAGTTGTTCATGCACCGAATTTTCATTTAATGTTAGACATAGACACCTATATAAATATACATTGTAAATAAACTGGCTTTAAAAAAAAAGTAATTCAATTGAGTTTCTTGCCAGTTCTTCTCAATTGGATCTATATACCGAACTGGACGGTAGGGAAAAAAAATAAAATTAGAATGGAAAAATTTGACGTTCATAAGCGGCTAAAATGTCCTACATGAATAAATGATTTTTGAATTTGAATTTGAATTTATGTGAAGGTATAAAGCTTGGCTGCTGTTTTATTTATTTATTTAGGATGACTAACGGTGTAATTTTACATGTTACTTGTCATATCAAATTGTCCCATGCCAATTAATAATCCTCGCCAATAGTATTACTGGATTAAATTTTTCATTATCCAATTTTAACATATCGAAGTAATCACGTGACAGTGTTTCAGTTGTATCTGCAGATTCTGCCGAACTGAAGAGGAAACTCCGCTTCACATCCTATGTGGTTGTAGCCCACTCATGCATAAACGAAATATCTCCTTTGGAAAATTTACACTCTTTCCCGAGGAGATAAAAACGATCGCTCCTAAGAATATCCTTCAATTCTTGTCCCTGACGGGTCTAGGTAGCGAACTCTGAAAAGGGCGAGCACAATAGATCTATGTAGGTCGCAGTGCTACAGGTGCTACACATCTGACAATAGCCCAAACAACCCAATAAAAAAAAAATTCACTTGTAGTTATACAGTACAAGTAAATAGACTAACATAACCACAAGCAGCGATGTATCCACAGAACACACAAATAATGTACGGCTATGTACCGTTAAAGAATTGGTTACATATGATTTTCGTAACTGAGGCAGTGCTGGAACAAAACAGGTCAATATCATGTGATGATCAATATATGAATGATATTGGAATGGTGCACTTGCCTGCGCTAACGGTTTACGCTGGCGGGGCACCAGTGGAGGATGAGATGAGCGTGAGGCCAGGGCAGTTAGCCCACTGTGTGAGATGAGAAGTTAAGAATTTATTACGATGGTTTCCAGGGAGAGTGTGGAAGTCATTCTGGTACATTGCCAGCTATAAGATCCATATTACTACAGATAACTTAATATTAGTTACTAAAAACTTGTTTGGCATTTTTTTTCATGGATGATAATGGAATGTTACACCCGCCTGCGCTAACGATTTACGCTGGCGGGGCACCAGTGGAGGATGATGAGATGAGCATGAGGTCAGGTCAGTTAGCCCATCCTGACAAATTCACAAGGAATTTGTCATGATGGTTTCCAGGGGGTACCGCGAGATGTCAACCTGACATGGTACATTGCTAGCTATGGGTCATAACTCCACATTACTAACAAACCCCTTGGCAGTTTTAAATAAATAAATAACACTAGACAATTAACACAGCGCCATCTAGTCCCACGGTAAGCAGAGCTTGTGTTATTGGTATTAGACAATTGATACGAATACCTAGATAAATATATACATAGAAAACACCCAGACTGATTAAATCATACTTCTGTATCTTTGCACCGTGCGAGGTATCGAATCTGCGACCATCAGAAGTAATGCGATGTGCTAAACCGCTACATCACCAAAGCCGTCTTGTTTGCTATTTTTTTTATTAATGATAATAGAATGGACAAAGGAGGATGATAAGATGAGCATGAGGTCAGGTCAGTTAGCCCATCGTGACAATCACCAAGAATGTATAACGATGGTTGCCAGGGAGAACCGCGTGGAGGTCAACCTGACATGGTACATTGCTAGCAATATGATCATCACTTCACGTTACTAACAATCCCCTTTCCCCCCTCTTGTTTGTTATTAATAAACTTCCTTTTAATTTCAGTATGCGCCTTCAATGCCAGCATCCAACGATCTTCAACTTACAACGGGACAGACTCCTGGCCTTCCACCATCAACTGCATCCTCAAGTTGAAGACTCCATTCGTCCTAACATCGTACACTCTGGATGAATTACGACGAGATCTGACCAGGATCGAGGAAGTATCTGGCTTCGAGCTGAACCTCGTCGCAGAACCGAGACGCAACCCGTTTGCCAGCGTCAGACCTGATAGGAACTTCATCACGGATGACGAGATGCCGTTGTTGTTTAAGAATTATTGTTTTTCAGTTATCTGTGGTGTGTTTTAGGTGTTTGTTTGTTGTGTTTTTGAAATAAAGTTGTTGCAATATGTTGTGTTTCAATTTACGTCAGAATTTTTAATATTAATTAATATGAATGTGGGACGCCCTAAGAAAAGATGGAAGAAAAAGAGGGATGGATTGTGTGAAAGATGATTTGAATAAAAGAAGAGTATGCACAGATATGACGACCGATAGAGAGCAGTGGAAGAGAATGACATATTGCAATATGTTGTTATATTTCAATTAACGTCAGAATTTTTAATATGAATTAATATGAATGTGGATGGATGTAAAGGGAAGGAACGCCCTAAGAAAAGAGAAAAGATGGATGGATTGTGTGAAAGATGATATGAATAAAAGAAGAGTATGCTCAGATATGACGACCGATAGAGAGCAGTGGAAGAGAATGACATGTTGCAATATGTTGTTATATTTCAATTTACGTCAGAATTTTTAATATTTTGTGTCCCTTTTTTCTTACTTCAAATGTAAGAAACTGTCAATGTACGTCTTAATATTTAATACGCAAAGTATACATTTTGTAGCACTTTATGTAAGAAACAGCATAATAGCATTTGAAGCGTGGAGAAATCTGCAATGTGCATTTGAAGATAAAGTTCTCTGTAGAAGGTACATATTTTTTTAAAGGATGATAATGGAATGGTGCACCCGCCTGCGCTAACGGTTTACGCTGGCGGGGCACCAGTGGAGGATGATAAGATGAACATGAAGCCAGATCAGTTAGCCCGACGTGACAAATTCACCGGGAATGTATCACGATGGTTTCCAGGGGGAACCGCGTGGAGGTCGATCTGACATGGTACATTGCTAGCAATGGGATCATTAGTCCCCCTCTGTAGAAGGTTAGGTCTTTTTAGAATTAGAAACCTAAAGCTGAGACAGAAGTTGTAGAGCACGAGTTTATTAACGACACACACAACACAACACGAGTTAAATACATAATACAATATCGTAATGTACAGTTACCAAATATGTGTTACTAGTTACTCGCCGCGGCTTCGCACGGATCTGCATGTATTACATATATAATAATAATAATAATAAATAATAATAATAAACTTTATTGGCCAATAAAACACTTTTACATTCAATACACATTACTGCGGACCACACACTAGACATGCAAGTCTGTATCGTGTGGTTCAGTCATTACACATAATTGATATGTTAACTTTAATGAAATAACACACACAACACTTATGGCGTTATATTACAAAGTATATATATAATAAATAAATATCTATAAATAGTAATAAATATAAAATATATTAATACATACAATAGACATACACATATTAAGTACTACTGAGGCTTTATGTAATTAAAATTCGGTTTGAAACAATTTCTCACATTGATCATAGTCCAGACTTATTAAAAAATCTTTTATTTTTATTTTGGCTTGAGCTAGAGAACATTTTTTTATATCACATGAATATTATATAAATTTACAGCTATATATGGGCTAAAACGTTTAGCAAAGGTTGTCTGTACCATAGGCAGGGGTATCTGAAAAACTCTTTTTTTTAACAGGTTTCCATATTTGGTGGAATTCAGTACATCTTTATGAGTGACTAAAGTCACTTTCCTCAAAAATTGTTTCCTAACACTAAGTACTTATATATATGTTGTAGAATACATATCTTTTTTTCAGCATTGTTTTAAGAACTCATGCAGATGATGCAGTACGATATGCATGCAATCATGTACGAAGCAAAAGGATATTAGAGATCAAATAATAGTCAATGTAGAGTAGTCATGCTCACTAAAATGTCCAGACATGCGGCGGCGTGGTGGGCCGGGTCATTGGGCTCCCTAAAATATGGTCGAGCGCAGTGTTGGCTGGCTCATCCGTCATAGTCGTGAAACGAGTGCTGCTTGTAGGGACTGGTCTACTCTTATCACTACGACTGATTTAATCTTATTGCATATTTATATTTGACCCAAAAAATTAGTGCTTGTTGGTAGTTTGTATTCACACGTTTCGACTTGTAAATGTAAACTTACAAGGATTATTTAAAAGAGCAACATATAAGTTTCTTGCTCGTTCTTCTTGTGATGAGACAGCTTTCCGAACGAGTGGTAGATAAAAAACAAATTGTTATGACTATTCAAAAGTGCTTAAATTAAGTTTATTTGAATAAATGATTTTCTATTCTATTCTATTCAATGATATTCGTCTTATGTTCTCTATTTAGGAAACTGTAGCGAGGTTAAGCAAGGTTGTGATATTTAAGATGGGTGACCGTGTTCAAAGCATCGTTTTTTATGTTTTTTTTTTATTTTTTTGAGGAGCTTGGACTATTGCCAGTTGTTTTAGTGTTGTTACCATTAAATTATTATATCCAGTGTTTTACAACATATTTTACAACGTACTCTTGTTAATATAATAGGTAGGTAATACATACTCTAATATATACTCGCCGCGGCTTCGCACGGGTGTACATGTATTATGTATAAAACCTTCCTCTTGAATCACTCTATCTATTAAAAAAAACCGCTTCAAATTCCGTTGAGTAGTTTTAAAGATTTAAGTATACATATGGACGGACAGACAGCGACAGCGACTTTGTTTTATACTATGTAATTATTGGAATAGCAAACAAGCGCATGAGATTATTTCAAAAGAATTAAGAATCAACCCTGAATCTGATGGTCCTGATGGTATAGCTGTTTAGCACACCGCTTTACTTCTAATGGTCGCGGGTTCATTTCTCGCACTATACAAACATTTGTATTCATGAGTATGATTGTTTGTATCCGTCTGGGTGTTTTCTAAGTATTTTATGTATGTATTTAGAAAAATAATATCTAAGTATTTATATCAGTTGTCTAGTACACATAACACAAGCTCTACTTATAGGGTACAAACATTTGTATTCATGAGTATGATAGTTTGTATCGGTCTGGGTGTTTTCTAAGTATTTTATGTAGGTATTTAGAAAAATAATATCTTAGTATTTATATCAGTTGTCTAGTACCCACAATACAAGCTCTGCTTATACGGTACAAACATTTGTGTTCATGAGTATGATTGTTTGTATCGATGTTTTTTTAAGTATATTATGTATGTATTTAGAAAAAAATAAAAAAAAACAATGAAAATAAAGAAATAACTTTTATTAGAAACAATATCTTACACTATATTTACAATTATACACTAAATAATATCACAGATCAAATATATTCAACGTTAATTAGAAAGTGAATGGATTCTGTATCACAAAGGCAAGATTATGAGATATGTTGCAACAGAGATAAAGTGCAAGTAGCTGAAGACAGCATCCCTGCTGGCAGATCCGGCCATCTACACAGACAAATGTTAACACATCAAGCTATAAGAGTCATACGAGTTGCGATTTGAACTTGCGCAAGTATACTTGAACATGTTTTGGAAGATATTTAATGTTTTCGGACTAGTCTAATGCTCTTGGCCGCTGCTGGCCTTTACAGCTTCACCGGACGATAGGGGGCGAGTGCAGATGGTACTCCAAACCAAAGGAAGGACTTATGGAGCAGCTGAAGGCCAACACCTGCCTGACGGATACGACTTTAGTCTGAGGGCACCACTAGGGGTACGAACCTCGGCTCAGGCCGTCGTAACATCGGTCCCCGTTTGAATTGGACGGGGGATCGATCGGGATTGATACGGGAAGCAAAAACTTTGTACCCCTTTTTGGAAATTGCACGGCCGGGAGGTATGAAATTTGGCACACTTACAGTTTCTATATTCGAACTTGCTCAAGTATACTTGAACATGTGTTGGAAGATTTTATTTAATTAATACGTGAATCAGATATTTATAAAAATTGCGCAAGTTTTGTAAGATATTTTGCGCATGTATTGGAAGATATTTATTAAAATTGGTGAAGCAAAAACTTCATAAAAAGGAGTATGAAATTTGGCAGTTTATAAATCATATACTTGAGCTATGAATGTGGATGGTTATAAGGGCAGAGGACGGCCGAAAAAGAGATGGATGGACTGTGTGAAAGATGATATGGTAAGAAAGGAAGTAAATAACGCGATAACTGCGAACAGGGATGAATGGAAGAGAAAAACATATTACGACGACCCCAAATAAATGGGATAAGGAAGAAGCAGATGATAATACTTGAGATATAACTATGATTAATTCTTAAACATTGCAATAAAAAATAGTTTATTTAGTGATGACATTATTTGAGCAGAGGGCCACTATTGTATTAAACTTGCGCAAGTTAAAAAATCGCAACTTGTTTGGGTTATTAACATAAATATTAATAAGTTAGTATACACATAGTTAAAGGCAGATGACGCAAGTATAAAAGAACAAAAATGCAACTGATGTCCTAATACATCTAAAAATTGCTAAATTTTAATTGGAAATAGGCTACAACGAGAAATCTCGACGAGAAGACTTTTGAGGAACTTCGATCAGTACTGAGGAGTCTTTCAGTTACGAAAGATAGGCCTTTCAGTACGAGGAACATCCATCGGTACTAAGTAGTCTTTTAGTACTAAAAGATAGATATTTCGTAAGAGCATTATTGTACGGTTTACATGTTACAAAAGTTTATTGATGGCAAATATTTTCCTGAATTGAATTTGCATCTACAGATTCTAATAATATTTCTAGAAACTTCTGTAACCTAGGAATCAAACTACACTGAGATTATTTTGTCCTAAATTAGATTCATCTAATTCAACTCGAATATAGGAATTACATTGCGGCATCTACATATCATAAACCACAGTGTTTAGTTACGAACAAGAAATAGAGTAAAAAATAAAATTTTAAACATTAACTAACAATCAAGCAATATAACAAATTTATTAATGATAGGGTGTAGATTATTATTAACAAGGAAACCTAATTAAGTTAAACAGATAAAGAGAAAGTTAGTATTTTAAGTAAAAATGCCTAAAATATAATAAAAATAGGTCATGATATCAAATACCATGAATTTCACAAAGTAAATACAATGGATCAAATATTAAAAGCAGTAAAGGAATGAACAATTTCAGCATTAAATTTAGTATATTTTCTATTAATAAGACTTTAATTAGTCTAGATTCAGAGATTTATATCTCTTACCAAATTTAACAACGTAATAAAATAGTCTACAAGTTCACTTTTTCAAATGCATTAAATGCTATAGAAATTGAAGAAGTTTCTTTATTGTGGAACAAGAATAACAAACTAGCTGACAGTCCATCTGATGCTAAAAGGCAATTATTTGATGCCCGTGGTAGAACCATCAAGCTTTGCTTTAGCTGAAATGTCATTCATGCTTCAGTATGCTGTAATTTCACTACCTCACATCGACACCTTGCCGCATAAATCTCGCATCAACTAAAGAATATATGGGCGCGGATGTAACACATATAGGCTGAAATAGGTGGGACAGAAGTATCCACGCAGACAACTTTATTCAACGTCTAGTTAGGTAGAAAAATGATGTTAAGTTTCTGCCCAAATGGAAATAAATACCCATGCTTAATTGTGATTAGAGAGTCTAAAATAGGCTGACAATTTTCTGCGACGAAATATCAAAATATTTCTTATACTATACTACTTATAAAAGAACATAAGTTGAGAAGCTGGTCTGCGAAATTTTCTAAATTTCTAAATAAATGTTCATTGAAATTGTTGTGAATCATCAATGAAGCCATTAATTTATTAATGTACTTAAATCATCAACCGATTTTAAGACGCTAAATAACAATATTTACAACACATAGTATTAGTTATACAACCACCTGTTCCACAAAAGCTGTAGGTGTACTAAATGCAACCGTATCATTTGCATAGAAATCGTCACTTTCTTCAGTTGTAGTTCCAGACAGTTCTTCTTTTATATTTTCAATAGTTATATCATCTGTTGTTGATATATCATTGTAATTTGTACTTGATTCTGTTGTAACTGTATAATCTTGTGTTGTTGTTAAAATAACGGTATCTTCAGATACATCTTTATTTTTCTGTTTAGATAAAAGTTTTTCATTATCACTAAATTTATTTGTTATTATTTCAACTAGTAATGATTGCGTTGTAGTATCTGCGACTGTGGTACTAAAATCATCATATATGTAAGTATCATCAGTACTGTTATATAAAAATTCATCATCTAGAATATTATTTAAAGTTGTAGATTCATAATCAGAATAATTGTTTATTGTAGATGCATAATAATTGTTAATTAATGTACTTGTTTCAGGTTCTACCATTTCATTACTTTTTTCAGCTTTGGATTTTGGCATTCCTTTTTTATAATTTTTACTTGGTTTCTCTATACTATCGTTTGTACTTAAGTCTACTATCACAGTAGTAGTTTCAACATCATATTCACTAGAACTTTCAGTCGTACTATAAGATAGAGTACTAATAATAGGTTCATCAGTAAATATTTCTATATCACCTTTTTCATTTTCACTATTACTAAGCATTGCATTATCAGTCTCTGTATTATTCTTTCTGTTATATTTATCATCAGTTAATATATTAATTATTATATCTATTGCGCTTAATTCTGACTCACTCAATTCCTCACTACTCGTGTTATGATATATTGTATTGTTCATTAATTCTTCCTTAACATACTGTTCTAAATCTTGTGTGTAATTTTCAGGGGGATCCCAATGGAATTCAGGGTCAGGCGTTACTGAATCCAAATTATTTGTTACTATATCTTTATCAATTTCTATGAAATTCGGATTAAAAGTGGTTGTGGTTGTCGTACTATTATTTGTAGAAGTTTCGATTAATTCCTCATGATAATCATGAAGTATATCATTCTCAATTTTAGAATCGCCTTTCGTGTATTTTGCTATCGCTGGGCCCATGACATTTTCTATGTAGTTACGAAGTTTTTGACATTTGTCAACTGTATTGACATCGTTGGAACTGCCCCATATAATGAAACCAGACGCATTAGATTTGTACATCGTTTGCAGTGCAACATCAAGGTCCTCCTGGAATTTACAAAATACGAGTTCATTAAAATATTGTAATGTCTAATTACACAAAACATCGAATAATTGACAGCCTTAGTATCGTTATAGGATATTATTGTTATTTAATATTGAATAAAAAGTGATTACAAAAATTTACCAAGGGAATTGATGACCTATACTTATTTAGAGTCAAAACAGAGGAACAGTTATAGTAAAGTTTTATTGTCAGTTCTCGGTTTAGACTAAATTCGGTACTAACAGGAGATTTTAATTAACATCAACGTCTGTAAGCATAACTACGGGATGAAATTCTTAGCACTTATTCACCGGGTCCATCGTGTGGCAAAGAGGGAAAACGTCGCGGAGTTCCCGGGACTTGTAACCCGGGTGTAGGTTTAAGGGGTTCCTAGTAGACGTAGGTCAACATTCACCGTTCGTGTTTCTCTTCCTGCCCAGTCAAATCTGGTAGGAGCCTGGAGCTCTAGATACACGTTCTAGTACAGAACCCTCTACAGTTAAGTAGTAAGCATTAAATTGTATTAAAATCCCTACCTTTTTAAGATAAGATCCGTCTCTATATCGGAACCAGAAGTAAGGTAATATTGGAATCCCATTTCTCTTAACTCTTGCAGCCTCTTTCACTCTTCCACGTATTAAGCCAGCTAGCTGCGGCGTTGACAGATCTTTTGAGCTGTATACAGACGGATATAGTGCTGTACTTTTTGACCATAGCCAATATACACTGAAATGAAAAAAGTATATCATTAGAATTGAAACATGAGGTTAGATGCTGATTACAGCATCCAACTTCTTCAAGAGAGACATCCAATTTCGAATGTCCTAATGGACATGCTGCACTCTCTTGAAGGAAACCTCCAGAAGGCGAAACAAACTTTGAGAAAGACGAATACAAGAAATTGGCCCGGCCCTGAAGAAAACCTGCTGAAGACGAGAAGACTTCGAGAAAGATGAAAACAAGTTTTAGCATATATATAAGTAACCATATCAAATAGAGTTGTTAATTAAAGCAATCAGTCCGAGAATATACGCTTGTATATAAGATAAATTAGTTTCGTTTTATTACTCCTTATACATACGAATACGGACATTACAAAATGCAGGCAGGTAGCTGATCTAATAAGGAGTAACTTAGGCTACATTTATTATAGAAAAATAATGTTAAATTCCACGCGTACCAAGAGTACAGCTAGTATGAAATAAAATTAAACGTAGATATAATTAAATATACACATTTAATAATTTTTCGTCTTATTTTCGTTTTTGGTTTTGTTTATATTGTTACACTGTTGAAAAGTACTGAATAAATATTTTTTTTCTTTCTATCTTTCTAAAAACATTAGTGATAGAAACTCACCTATCATTTTCTTCCGGAACTTTGTTAGCACAACTCTCTGTTGGGTTGTTATTGGCCATATTAAAGCAGTATGGGAAACCGTAGTATCCCCATAGAGCGTTGGGGCGCATCTGCTTTGCTAGGGTCAACGTGGACTGCATGAAAGCACGGGCTGCTTGCTCAAAGCGCTGCTTCGCCTGAAATTATATAGATAGATAGGTAATTGTAGACATTGTTAGAATTCACATCATTATTGTAGAAGATATCCGATATTTTTAAAAATATATTTTATTAAATACATACTTTTACTAGACATAGACTTGATATATCTAACAATTGTTTATTTTTGTAGTAAATATCCGATATTTTAAAAATATATTAAAAGAAGTAGTTTGTTTTTAGTACCCAATGTAAAGATTATTACGAATATTGTAAATAGCGCCATCTAGTATTTATAGATCAACCTACTACTCTGACTTTGGTCTATAAATACGGAGGTCGGTAGTTGAATAATCCTCTTTCGTTGCGTGAGCCGCGGCATTCAGTCGACGAGCGCAGAGCGTGCCAGTTGTGTTTTGGATACTAAAGTGAATTGTATTAGAAATGGGTTTATCCCGGTCTTAGTTGGGCCTGGGGGAAGCTGCAAGTAGTGAAGGTGAGTGTTAATGCATTCTAAAAGGGCCTTTTAAACCTACACCCGTGTCAAAAGTCACGGGCGCTACTTGGGGTTTCCCTTGCGGTAGCCGGCTTCAAAGCCTCAGTCGTCCATCATAATTAGTGCTTGTTACAACATTAATATATGAATAAGCATACCTTTATATATAAAAATTACGTGTCACGTTATTTGTCGACAATGGACTCCTAAACTACTGAACCGATTGCAAATTTGATTTGCACATTGTGTGTAATTTGATCCAACTTGAAAGATAGGATAGCTTACATCTCAATTTATAGTCGCAATATTATTTTACTCAAGAACCTTAGTCACAGTAACGCGTGGACAGGTTTGCTAGTATAAGAATAAGAAAAACATACAAAGTTGTCAACAGGAGCTGCCTCAGCTGTTTCTGATATAAACACAATTTCAATGAAGTGCATAGGTTTTCAGGCAGCTCCCATTACTTATAAAAATCATCATTATGAAAAATATAACTGATATTTTATAAAATTTACAGTTCAATATATATATCTTATATATAAAACTCTCGTGTCACAGTTTTCGTTCCCATACTCCTCCGAAACGGCTTGACCGATTCTCATGAAATTTTGTGAGCGTATTGAGTAGGTCTGAGAATCGGCCAACATCTATTTTTCATCCCCCTAAATGTTAGGGGTAGTCCATCCCTAAATTTTATTTTTTATTTTATAGACAAAATTTTTAGTTTCTATTTTTTTAGGATACAACATACAAAAATACATAAAATCCTAAATTTTCACCCTTCTATCATCAGCCCCTATTTTTTTATAGCGTTATTAATTTATATGGCAAACGTTTTACATATAAATTTATGATATATGATAAGGAATGGTTCGAATAGCAGCCGCTGAATGTCACCGTCGTACTGCCTGCCAGAAACTAATATACCAGCATCAGGATAATCAACTGTATGATATAGGCCCTCCATCGTGCGTTTTTCAAGAAACTTTTTACTACGCACAACTACATTGTAGAATCACCTTCTAGCAATGGTATTTCCGAACCGATACGATATTAAAATTTTTAAGAAGAGAACTTAATATAATACGAGAATAAATATATTATTATTATTATTATTATTATTATTCCTTCTTGAAAGACCGGAACGCATATACTATATACAATTCGTTTGGTGTTGCGACTGAGCTGAAGCACCTCCTATGACATGTTTGTATGTATTTATTATTTTTTATATTTTTACCGGCTATGTTGGGACCGCTATGATTTACGTTTATGTGTTCTCTGTAGCAGCAGCAGGAAAGGAGATGAAGTGATAAGTCCAGTGATTGCTATTTCCATTATGTACGAGTATATTAACAAAATATTTACAGTTGATATATGTACAAATATATGTATATGTATTCAGTCTCGAATGACAAACTTGTTATTTCATTCTTCTGTCGTAAATAGTTAATTTGTAACTTGTATTATTTGTGCTATGTACTCGTATGAAAGTGGCACCGATGTCGGAGAGGTTAAAGAGTAATCGTCTATCGTGGTATGGGCATGTAATGCGTAGGAATGAAGATCATATCCTAAGGACGGTGTTACATATGAATGTGGATGGTTATAAGGGTAGAGGAAGACCGAAAAAGAGATGGATGGACTGTGTGAAAGATGATATGATGAGAAAGGGAGTAAATAACGGGATGACTGCGAACAGAGATGAATGGAAGAGAAAAACATATTACGACGACCACAAATAAATGGGATAAGGAAGAAGCAGATGATGATGATGATGTGCTATGTTGGCATTAAATTAATTATCTATCTATCTATCATATATAAACTGGCATGGTTAGTTGTGTTTTAAACATATTACGCCGACCACAAATAAATGGGATAAGGAAGAAGCAGATGATGATGATGATGTGCTATGTTGGCTTTAAATTAATTATCTATCTATCTATCATATATAAACTGGCATGGTTAGTTGTGTTTTAAACATATTACACCGACCACAAATAAATGGGATAAGGAAGAAGCAGATGATGATGATGATGTGCTATGTTGGCATTAAATTAATTATCTATCTATCTATCATATATAAACTGGCATGTTTAGTTGTGTTTTAAACATATTACGCCGACCACAAATAAATGGGATAAGGAAGAAGCAGATGATGATGATGATGTGCTATGTTGGCATTAAATTAATTATCTATCCATCTATCGTAGAGCGTAGCTCTTAAATTATGAATGAATGAATGAATGAATCTATCTATCATATATAAACTGGTTGGCATGGTTAGTTGTGTTTTAAACATTAACCTGATTTATATCGTCATGGGCGTTTTAGCGTTCAAACTGAGTAACCTTATGTTGTGTCATCGTTTGACTCACAGACCGCATTACAAACATTCTAAATCATCACTCAGCCCTTCATAATGACTGATGAGGCGTAAGCTTTGCCCTAATTAGTACAGCCGATAAGACGACTAAGAAATACGTAGAATCTTATTGATTTTACATATCATAAGAATCTGTAATATCATCTAAGTAAGATGAATAAATACATACATACATATACATTGTAAATAAATTAAAAAAAAATAATTAAAAAACAAAGTAATTCAATTGAGTTTTTTTTTTACGCCAGTTCTTTGAATTAGATTTATATATTGAATAGTAGGTTATAGTTTTTATCTATTAAAATATATAAAAATTTTTTGCACGTTAATATTAATTACTATAAAAATATCCTAATGAATAAATGATTTTGAATTTGATTTGTATTTTGAAATTTGATTCCAAATGACAACACAACTAAGATGCTATAAATTTATCACAAAATATATATAATTTAGTGACTTTTTATCACAATTGATTATGGCTGTATAAAAAATAAAAATTAATGGCGTCATGGCTTAGTGGTTTACGACACTTAATTACTCCTAAGAGGTCGTGACTTCAAATTTGACCGACACAGAAAAAATATAAATATTAATGGACAATATACGCAGTGTCTTCCAGTCCCAAGTTAAGCAGAGCTTGTGTTATGGGTACAAGATAACTGATATAAATACTTACTGCATTTTTAATGTAAATACATACATAATTTACATAGAAAAATCTCAGATTGATTAAAAGAATCATACTTATGTTTGTACCGTTACAGGACTCGGCCATCAACCTGCGGCCACCGGAAATAAGGTAATTTTTTTCAGACTACTCTAATAATGTTCCGCAGCTGGACTTTACAGCTTCATCGGACGATAGGGTACGAGTGTAGATGACATTCCAAACCAAAGGAAGGACTTATGGAGCGGCTGAAGGCCAACTCCCCCCTGTTTAGTCAGAGGACACCGTCAGGTTCGAACCTCGGCTCAGGCTGTCGTAACTTCGATCCCCGTTTGAATCGGACGGGGGATCGATCGGAGGCAAATGCTCGTCATAAAGTAGTAGACATGATGTACCTCGGCTTGTATCCACGCCTTCGGCCACCACCAGTGAAGTTTCTTCTCAATCTCATACGAGACGTCTTTGTACGGCACGAGGATCCCGAAGTTCTGTCTGAACACCGGCCTCCAGGACTCGAAGTCTATGATACCGACTCCTGGAAATCGAAGATGAATTTTATAAGGACTAGGTCACCTAGTGGTCGAAATTCGACTATAATTTATTTAGTTAGTTTTAAACTTTCGTGTTTAATATACATTATTTAAATTATTAACCGGGTCTTAACACGAATATTTTATGGCAAATAAAGGTATTTACCTCTCTCGACGTTTCGACTAGGTTGCATTAGCCGGTCACGAGCTGACTACGCAGTCAGCTCGTGACCACGGCTAGTGTAAAATTCGTAGTAGAGTAGTAAAATTCGTTTTAAGACCCGGTTAATAATTTAAATAATATAATTTATTTGAATTATAAGTTTGAACATTATTAAGGTTCTTTGTGTAAAATAGAAAAGTTTATTAATTAATAGCTGTACACGCGACTTCGTCTGCGTGGAATTTAATCTTATTTTTCTTAAATAAAGGTAGCCTAAGTTATTTCTTAATACATCAGCTACCTGCTAATAAAAGTCCCGTCAAAATCGGTCCAGCCATTTCGGAGATTAGCCGGAACAAACAGACAGACAAACAAAAATTGTAAAAGGGTTGTTTTGGTGTATACACCGTAATTGTAGTAAAAAACGGTTATTTCAATATTACAAACAGACGCTCCAATTTTATTTATATGTATAGATGATTATGTTTTTATATAGACAACTTGTAACTTAAAATTCATAGCGCTGACAATATTATCTGATTGCACAAAGACTGAGTGTAGCGGTTTCTATGTTGATTATTGCATGCCTAATCCTTGTTAATCTATTAACCGAGCGGGACGTATAAATAAGTCAAACGTCAAACTTTTGTGTACCTGTAGGACATATGTATACCTAAATTTTTTAAATTTCTGCTGCACCCTGGAACTATTTCATATCAAAAATATATATATTAAACTATATTTTTTTTTTTCGATGATAATGGAATGGTGCACCCGCCTGCGCTAACGGTTTACGCTGGCGAGGCACCAGTGGAAGATGATAAGATGAGCATGAGGTCAGGTCATGCCCATCGTGACAAGCTCACCGGGAATTTGTTAGGACGGTTTCCAGGGGAAACCGCGTGGAGGCCGACCTGACATTGTACATTGCTAGCAATGGGGTTATCAATCCACATTACTAACAATTCCCTTTCCCCATATTTGGTAATCATTTACTTAAACTATGTATATATGAACGAAATTTGTAATTTATAATTACGTCCTTAGAAATATTTTTAATTATTGCTTTTAGCGCTTTCAACAAAATATATAAAACTACAATGGTTTATATATTTTTTTTTTCCTCGTATTAAATTATATTGTGCTGACGTACTGACATGTCCTAGTGAGAGACAGTGCCCGTTATGTTGCGTAATTAAAAGGAATTCCCTGATTAACAGGTTCAGGTTTGTACACTAAAAACATTTATTTAAATGAGCAACACGCATTCTTGATAGCTCTTGTGATGAGCCTGCATTCCGAATGCATCACTCAATCGGAGGATAAAAATGTATATATTTAAGTGTTCATATTAAATATTAAATATATTTGAATAAAGATTATTCCTATCTTATATTTATTTATAAACTCTTTATTGCACCAATAGAATTATATCTTTATTTATTGAGCAAAGCCTATTACTCACTAAACGATTATTTGAATGACGAGCGTGCATGGCAATATTAGTTCATGCACGGGATTTTCACTCAATGTTAGATGTTACCTATTGTAAGACATAATTTATATGTCTATATATTATCTTTATGAAATGATTAAATAGGAAACTATCAAGTATTGTACTGACTATACAGCGCCATCTTACAATTAGTTAGATTAGAGACATTCGTGTTTATTTCATAACTTATTTATATTATAAAAATGTAATAATGATACAATATCTACAAGGAAATGCTAATTAATTATGGTATTTTCTAAAACCATTTTAAGTATTATATGTTCCACTATTTTGTATAATTGTAGTGTAATGATAGATAGAGCAAAGGAATGAAATGACTACCCTTTTTCTTAAAAAGGGGTAATCGGTTCAGAAAGTTAGTTAGTTACGCGCTGGAGTTAGAACAAGGAGGAACTTTGAATAAACGGCTTGCGTATCGATTCACTGTTTTTATTATTGCCACCTGATTTCTTATACTATATTAGTAAACAATGTATGCAAATTTGCTATTAAAAATAGAAAAAAAATAGTTGAGTTTCTTGCCAGCTATCAATTGGAATCTGTATATATACCTCTAATGGTGATGGCCGCAGCTAGACTACAGCTTCACCGGACCATAGGGCGCGAGTGCAGATGGCACACCAAACTAAATGAAGGACTTATGGAGCGGCTGAAGGCCAACTCTCGCCTGACGGATACGAGTTTAGTCTGAGGGCACCGCTAGGGGTTCGAACCTCGGCTCAGGCCGTCGTAACATCGGTCCCCGTTTGAATTGGACGGGGGATCGATACAAAAACAATCCCTTTTATACAGAGAAGATATGAGTGGGGTTATACGCAACTAGTTTAACGATACCGAGTAATAATGAAACTACCTTCTTTTAATATTTTTAAAATATCCGATTTTTCGACAATATCGATGTGAATCCTAACAGAATTAGTATAGGATACTTTTTATTAAAAAAAAAACATTCGAGTGAAGCCACGTGTACAAGCTAGTATATAATATATAGTGTATATACAAGCGGAGTAATACCAGACAAGTAATCATAAATCATAATATCCAGTAACTAACAATTAGAGCATTCTCAATGAGCAAGGCCAGTGCCGCGGAAATTTTGTATTGAGTCACAAGTTCGAGTCCTGTAAATAACTTCTATAGTATGACTTTTAATATACACAATGGAATAGTGCTTCCGCATACGTTATCGGTATTATTTGTTGGGGCACCAGTGGATGATGAAGTGATGAAGTTAGTGAGAAGGAAGGAGATCAATACGTGTCGTGATGAACAAAGGGAAACGGCACAGAAATCGTCGCAGAATATTATTTATTTATTTATTTATTTAATTCAGGCTACATGGCCCATATTATAAATACCTTATAGACTAACATACATAAGAAATAATAATAAAATATGAAAAATAAAATTGTCTCTATGGTCACGGCACTGACGACGGCAATCTGCCACGGTAGCGCCGATAGACCACCCCCTTCGGCCAGTAGTCCTCCTTCATGAAGGTGGGCAGCATGTTGGTGGGGACCAGGGCCACGAACGCTTTGAAGCTCGCGTTGTGGCTCGATTCCAACTGCGTCACCCTCAATGTCAGGTTGCTTTTCGTCCGGATGTAGTCAACAATGTCCTGTTCCTTGGTAGCGTAGTGTAGGCGGGATAGGTACATTGCCGTGGTCGGTGTTGCGGCACGTAACAAGATGTTGGGCCCTGTCAGTGCTGTGCCACAATGGTTTCGATTGACCCTCTTTGTGCGCCTCTTCTTTTGTACCGTGACAATTTAAGTTATATTGACTTATGTCATATATGTAAAACAATATCTATATATAAATGAATTACTGTTTGTTAGTCTGACTAAAACTCGAGAACGGCCGAATTAGCTAATTCTAGACTTGAAATATTCGTGGAAGTCCAGGGAAGTATTAAACGGTGATAAATTATGAAGGAATTGCATAGAAAATAATAAAAACAACAATTTTATATTCCCATTATGTAAAACAATCTATATATAAATGTTCGTTATTCAAACTTAAATTTATGTACTTTTTAATATTATTTTTTTTATAATTAATTATTTTTTAATACTTATTTTTTTAATCTATCGCTCATTCGGAAGGCTGTGTCATCACAAGAAGAACGAGCTAGAAACTAGCGTGTTGCTCTTTTAAATAAATGTTGTTCCATTTTTATATTGAAATGTGAATACAAACTACCAACTAGCACTAATTCATTAGGGTCTAAATTTTAAATATATAAGTAACCAATTGTTCTAAATCTGCTTGAAAATGTTTAAAACATTTCCTTTGTAAAAAGGCATAGTTTCAAATAACGTTTTTGTAGCAACACTTAAAATTATCTGATTGCACTAAGAACGAGTGCGTAGCGGTTTCTATGTTGATTAACGCCTCTCACTTGTTATTGTGTAATTATTTATATAAAAGAACATCTATTCAAAAGAGCAACACACTAAATTCTTGCTCATTCTTCTTGTGATGAATCTGCGTTCCGAATGAGTGGTAGAATAAAAAATATGACTATTCAAAAATGCTTGTAATGAGTTTATTTGAATAAAGATTATTTCTTCTTCTACTGGTTAAGTAATTAAATAAGATTAAATCAGTCGCCATGGAAATAAGTAAATGCTAAAAAATAAAACACTATTTTTTATATAATTAATGTTAACTATATACAATTTTGTAGAATAATAAGGGTATTTACATAGTCATTGTTGATGTTAGAATCTAGGTCGAGTAATGATGTACAAAGCAAGAGGATATTAGAGGTCAAATAAGTGTCAATAATAATCGGTTACGATCTCTACTTAGCAAACTGTATCGAGGTTAAGCAAGGTTGTGGTTTGGATGGGTGACCATGTTAAAACATCGTTTATCAGGGGAACAGTTGTTAATAATGAAAACTTACTTGATTTTTTTTATGATTATTGCATCTGAAAATAAAGTACTAACGCATTGTTGATACATACTATTTTGTTATCGTCTAGATTGGAACGCACTATCGTTTGTATACACAAGTGGGCTAGTAAACCGCTAGACAATGCCGTTAAATTTTATATTAAACAAATAATCAATTGAGGTTTGTTTACACATTCCACCATACATAAATATTATTTACCTTTATCTTCTTTATTTTCTATATACATATATATATATATACGGTATCGTAAATCGTGACGTGGAAAAAGTGTCTGTTTGTCTGTCTATATGTTAAAGTTTCACGTAAAAACTGCCGGAGGTATTCAGATAATTTTTTTTTATATAATATTGTTAGTGGTGGGAAATTGCGGAAAAATATAGCAAATAAGGTTTCACCACCATGCGGTAGGGCGCGGTCGCTGGTTCAGAAATATGATGTTAATTCGTTGACTGATTAAAACATTCAAGGCTTGTTACCTGCAATATATTGGGCTCGTACTCCTGGAGACCACCTCTAAACGGCTGTCGCACAGATCACAATGATATAAGCACAAAACACAAAAATATTGTCCAAATTCGAGATTAACTTTTAGCAGCGTGCACGGCGGTTGATTGTACAAATCAGAGAGTTTTCGAAGTATTCACTTCAGATGCACAATTGCTCTCGCAGTGACGCGTCAGAGGCGCACTTTACAGGTACATACTTACCCGCTAAATTACAAATATACAAACCTTGACTGCAAATACAACAGACCAGCGAAATAACAATATATATAATTGTTACAATAAAAATGTTATAAATGGCGTAACCAGTTAGGTAAATATGGGTTTGATGTTCAATGGGCCATTGATGAATGAACGAATAAACGAGTCAACGAATGAAGGAATGAACAAAAGAATGATATATATAAATTCAAATTTTGGCGCATTTCGCGCTGTTGATTGCAAGGAGTGTCAAAGGGAGCTGTCAATAGAAATAACATAAAAATGGATCGTGCAAAAACAAGTGTGCGTGAATAAGGTTATAGAAAAAACATATACTGTTTTAAACTTGACGCGGTCATTATTTATATGTATAATTAGTAAAAATCACGGGATCTTTTATGGGCAGACATATGCGTCTACCTTCACACGTCTTCGTTTGTTGCTACTACTGGAACTCGCTCGATATTCATCTCGGCAAACCGTACTCACAGTATATTTACGTACATTTAATACACTTTTTGATCGCGTTTTTTGTTTTTGTTTAATTAAACCAATCACTGGATTCCAGGCATTAGAGAGCCTATAGCCGTCTTCTCGATTGAAATTTTTATATTTCTGTATTTTAATGGCCTCTCTAACCATTCTTGGGATATAATGCCGTTCTGATGTTAATACTTTTGGTTGGTGTAGTTCATATGTCATATGTCATATGTCTGCCCATAAAAAGATTTCATTTTCCATCTACCCGCTGCTCTTCAGTTTACCCGTGATCATGGTGGTTGAAACACTACCGAAATATCGGGAACTCAGCAAATAAATAGAAAACGTGGTAAGATCCCGTGATTTTTACTAATTATACGTATATATAAAACATATTATAAAAAGACAGTAATAGTTGAATAATAATTGTAATAAACTTTATATGTCGTTTCTTTGTTTACAGGTGAGTTATATGTGATTCTTATTTCAGTGTTAAATAATTGTAGTGTTTTAAAATTATATAAAACATTTCTTTGTTTATAGAGAAAGAAATTTTAGTTTATTTTATAAAGAAACCCTGAAAATATTATTATATATATATATATGACTTCTGTGTGTATGTGTCAAATATGAGATAGTAATAATAATAATAATAATCTCAGGACAATTCACACAGCGCCATCTAGACCCAAGTTAAGCTAGCTAAAGCTTGTGTTATGGGTCCTAGACAACTGATACAAATACATAGATAATTTTTTTTTTCCTAAATACATACATATTATACATAGAAAATACCCAGACCGATACAAACAATCACACTCATGAATACAAATGTTTGTGCCGTGCGAGGAATCGAACCCGCGACCATCGGACGTAAAGCGGTATGCTAGACCGCTAGACCACCGAGGTCGTCATATAGAGATAGTGTGTGCAAGGTTTTGAAAAAAATATTGGCATTCTGTTGTCCGTGTCTGTAAAATTGTGCGAAATTTCATACTCCTCCGTCCGCGGAAATAGGGTACCTACGAAGTTTCTGCTTCACGTTTTAATATAATTATAATAATAATAAATGTTTCATATATTGTTCTCCCTCTACCATTAACATCATATGCGTTGACTAATATAAACGCGCACAAAGCCGGGTAACAGCTAGTTCAATAAATACTCATAAATAAACATCCGAAATAGTACCGCTTTCTGCAAATATTGTGATAACATTATTATGATCTTAAGGTGATCTTAAAACGAAGGTGATTTCTGTGTGTTGTTTAAACCTGTTTAATTTCAGTATCATCTTGTTTTTTTTTAATAGCCGCGGCGTACAGCAGTTAACTGGCGATATTATCATCATATATACATACTTTCCTTTATTTTGACGACCTCGGTGGTCTAGCGGTTAAGCATACCGCTTTACGACCTATGGTCGCGGGTTCGATTCCTCGCACGGCACAAATATTTGTATTCATGAGTATGATTGTTTGTATCGGTCTGGGTGTTTTCTATGTATAATATGTATGTATTTACAAAAAAAAATATCTATGTATATGTACCAGTTATCTAGTACACATAATACAAGCTCTAGCTAGCTTAACTTGGGTCTAGATGGCTCTGTGTGAATTATCCTGAGATTATTATTTTTATTATTAATTTTGTTTTTACTAGCTACTCACCTCGGCTTTGTACAGGTGTACATGTATTATATACATAAACCTTCTTCTTGAATCACTCCAATTTTTTTTTTTATTTTCGACGGTCTCCCGTCTGGCAGTTTAGCGCACTGCCTTATTTCCGACGGTCCCCGTTTCGATTCCTCGCACGGTACAAACATTTGTACTCGTGAGTTAGATTGTTTGTATCGGTCTGGGTGTTTTCTATGTATATAGTGTAGGAATTTACAAAGAACTAAACTAGATGGCGCTGTGTTGATTGTAACACAACACCACGGTTATTTATTTATTATGTTTTTATTTGTGTATAAATTATTTTTTTTTTGTAAAAGATTTTTAATATACAGCTATGGTGGCAAATATGCATACAGCCCATCTGTTGGTAAACAACTACCTATCTATAAGCTACGGACACTTAAATAATAAATATTTAAGATAAATTTGTTTTATACTTTAGAACTTACCACTAAAATTAGGATCCGGAATACTCTGCTCCAGTACACTCCTGAACGAAGCCAAATGCTTCTCAATGTCCCCCTGCTGGGGAACGCCGCCATTTCTAAATATGAATCTACCGCTCGTTTCGTTCTTCAAAAGCGCGGGAAAAAGGCCCGGGTCGTACAAAATGGCGATCTTTTCGCCCCGGAAACTGTCATTTTTGTTTTGCAATATCCCGAACTTGTCATGTAGGTTTTCGAATGGGATTTTCTTTGATCTGCATTGCATTGTTGGTACGTTCCAGTAAACTCGAAACGGTTTCTTGTGGAGTTTGGTGGGTGGGTTTTTTTCTGGCATTTGGATTACGTAGTAACTGAAATAACAACAAATAATACTTTTTATTAGAGATGTTATGGATATGATTTTGGATACGGATAGGTTTCGGATATAGGAATGGTTATTATATACGGATACGGATACGGATGCGTTAGTTTCGGATAATTTCGATTACGGATATTGACATTTTAAGGAATTTCAAAAGTAAAATACAAATAGCCAATTAAATGGCTACATAACGTGTCTCAATTAGGCTCCGCCCTTCATTTAAACTAGGTAAAATTCATTCTTAATTTTTAGAAATAAAATAACGTTTCTTGTTTATGCCTAGAAACAACACAGACGACCATAACATTTTTATTTTTTGTCACAGAAAACAATCACATTTCTCTTTGTTTTGTTGTAACCATCTAACCACTTATTTTGCATAAAATTATAGAGCTAAGAAGAAAAAATGCAAATGCGGCCATATTTGAATTTCAACTCGAATAGATTAGTATTTATATGTACAAATAAATATGTTAAAAAAATATCACGCATAAATCATTGATCGTTTTTATATCATTGGTGATAAATAAGTTCCTTACTCCTTAACTTGTAAAAATCTCTTTGCGACTAGCTTTTTATACAACGAAGTCGCCACACTATAATTTGGGATTTATTATCCCAATCTCAAGCATCAGCACTTTTAATGCTTATATTCTCACAATGTCAGTTTTAGAATGCGATTAGAATTGTAGAATTAATGAAGCTATTGTATATCATACACTGAACAATCAAAGTCCCTTCTTCTTTAAGGATAAAAAATTAATAGAAATTCTCATTTGAAACATTTAATTCTTACTATATACTATATACCCACGACTCACAAGTTATAAAAAATAAAGGTAAGAAAATTCTTAGATTTCTTAGATAACGCCGTAACGCCTTCTGCTAAGCACAGCTATGTATCAGCCCCTATCGATATTATCCGGAACTTTTATTTCGGATTCGGTTACGGTTACGAATATTTTTTTATGTCGGATATCCGATAGTTTCGGTTACTTTTACGGAGCTAACATACCTGCTTTTTAATTGCATAATTTAATCTTTCACCTGTCAAAATGATATTCAAGCCCCATCAGTGAGACCAATTACAGGATTTCTCACAGATGGGAGTTTAGGCCCATCTGTGGAGTATCCATAATTTTTATAAACTGACGTTTAAAAAATTTTAGATGCTCCACGGATGGGGTTTTAGTGTCCGAGTCTAATAATCGGCTCCTTCGCAGATAAGAGGTTATAGTGGTCGAGTTTGAAAAATGTCGCCAGCGTTGGTGCCTCAGAACTGCCTGTATCACCTGCTAAGCAGCTTGCTTTGTAAGATATGCTTTAGCTGTTGCTAATATAGTATAAATATAGAGGGTTGCAATGGTACGCTGTATGGAAGAATCGTCATTTTTTAAAACTAGAAGTTTGAGACTCATTTTAGGCTGTTGTTTAAATGTCAATAAATATGACATTCAATGTATGTAAAATTTTTACTCTTAGGGAGAGGGGGGGTAGTAAAATAAAATAGGGAATGAAATTTATTGTGGAAATTTGCTGTTTGTGTGGTTGTGGAAGCTAGAACGATTAAACTTTTTTCTTTGTATTTTTAGAGTTAGTTTATTAAATACCTTACTGATATTATAAATGTGAAAGTAACTTTGTCTGTTTGTCTCGCTTACACGCCAAAAATACTGAACCGATTTATATTGAAATTTGAAACAGACATAGATACACTAGATACTGAGAAAGGACATAGGTTACTTTTTAATGTGAAAAAGGGTTACAAGAGGATTGAAAGGGTAGATCTACTAAGCTAGCTACCCTAATCTATGTTTTTTAGCTTATTGATTAAATATTTATTTTTATTTTTTATCACTTTTTAAGCTAAAATGATGAAACTTATTTATTTGACTTATATTGTATTAATTGAGTTAAATATTTTTTCATTACTTACGCGAACGAAGTCGCGGGTACAGCTAGTATAAATATATAATTTATTATATTTTACAATGAAGACTGAGTATTAAAGAAGGTACTAATTACACACTATCAAAGGACGCGGGAATGCGGACGGCGCGCGCAGTCTTTCATATAAAAAGTTTCATCGTTATAGCTTCAGAAACGACGATTTTCCACACAAACTTTCATCCCCTATTTTATTACCTCCTTAAAGTAACATTTTTACTAACTTGGAATGCCATATTTATTTATATTTAATCAACATCCTAAAAACTAAGTTTCAAGCTTTAAAAATGACGATTCTTCCATACAACCTTTCAACCTCTTACAACCCTTTTGCGCATTAAAAAGTAGCCAACGTCCTTTCTCAGGATTTAGACTGTTTGTACACCAAATATAATTTAAATCGGTTTAGTGCTAACGCTTTTGGCGTGAAAGTGCTCTTGACAGACAGACAGAGTTATTTAGTGCAGTTATTTATAATATTACAAAACATATTGTGTGCAATATATTATCAAAATATTGCGTGATTTCATATAATATTTGGTAACCTAATAAATATTTAGCGTCTTTATTGTTACCGCTATTATTTGTGTTTATGTTGTGTTCTTGTAGCAGCAGCGGGAAAGAAGGAGGTGAAATGATGAGTCCAGATTGTTGCTATGTACATATTTATAGTAGTCTAGTGTTTTGAGTAGTCATGCTCACTAAAATGTCCAGACTTGTGGCGGCGTGGTGGGCCGGGTCATTGGGCTCCCTAAAATATGGTCGAGCGCAGTGATGGCTGGCTCATCCGTCATACTCGTGAACGGGTGCTGCTTGTAGGGACTGGTCTGCTCTAATCACTATGACTGATTTCCTCTTATTAATTGTTTAACCAGTTGGTTATATATTCAATATTATTTCTATTTGAGTATTTAATAGAATTAGTGCTAATTGGTGGTTTGTATTCACACACTTAAACTTAAAAATGTAAAGTAATAATAAAATTATTTAAAAGAGCAACACGCAAGTTTCTTGCTCGTTCTTCTTGTGATGAGACAGCTTTCCGAACGAGCGGTAGATTAAAAAATGTAATGACTATTCAAAAGTGCTTCAATGTAAGTTTATTTGAATAAATGATTTTCTATTCTATTCTATTCTATTCTATAATTACGAAATATTTACAATGAATATATAGGTATGTACAAGAAAGTGATTCGGTCTCGAATGACAGGCTTGTTATTCTTCTTGCCCCATCGTAACTAGGCAACGGTGTTGCCGCACGATGATAGTATATTCGCCACAAATATATCACTCGCCTTACTTACATACATTTAAATTAATTCAGTTCATATTACGTGTTAATACATTAATATTAATTTGAATTATGTGACAATATGGCTATTGGAGTGCCACATCTGTCACATTAAAAAGGCCAGCTATCCGTGTTAAATAACACAATGAAATAATATAAATTTTATACACATTATCTATAGAGTTATTGGTACTGAACAACAGATTTTGTGAATACATACATCATATACAAATTCAAATTCAAAATATCTTTGTTCATGTAGGTCTATTACAGACTATGATATGTCAAATCTACCGTCAGACATACAATCGTACCGTGTGAGGAATCGAACCCGCGACTATCAGAAGTAAAGCGGTGTGCTAATCCACTAGACCGCGAGGCATTTTAAAGTGTACGCCAATCTGAAGATCAATAAACATTTTTTTAACCAGGGACAAATAACAGAGAGCCGTCTCGTGCTACTGTAAGCAGAGCTTGTGTTATGGGTACTAGACAACTGATATAAATGCTTAGATATTTTTTTGTAAATACATACATAATATACATAGAAAACACACAGACCGACACAAACAACCATACACTTGAATACAAATATTAGTACCGTGCGAGGAATCGAACCCGCGACCAACAGCTAGACCACCGGGGCATTTTAAAGTATACACCAATCTCAAGATAAATAAACAATTGTTTGTTTAGTCAGATAATTAAAAACAAATAAGCAAGTTTCTTAGTCATTCTTCTTGTGATGAGTCTGCATTCTGAATGAATGGTAGAATAAAAAAATATGACTATTCAAAAATGCTTATATTAAATTTATTTCAATGAAGATCTTATTCTATTTTTATTTCCCGCAACTTCGTCGGCTTGGAATTTAACTTTATTTTTCTAAAATAAAAGTAGCCTAAGTTACTCCTTATTACATCACCTGCCTACCAAAAAAAGTCCCGTCAAAATTGGTCCAGCCATTTCAGAGATTAGCCGGAACAAACATACAGACAGAGAGACAGACAAATAATGTATAAAAAAATTTGGTGTATATACCGTATTTATATTCATATGCATGTAGTAAAAAACTGTTATTTCAATATTACAAACAGACACTCCAATTTAGTTTATATGTATAGATGCAGACTCTGCGAGTCTTCGATTGTGATCGTTTGATTTATTGCGTTACATCAACAGTGGCACACTTGAGTGTGATGTAACGGAGCATCGAACTTGTGCACTTGTAATTATTTCAATAGGCTTGCACTTACGTAACAATATTATACCTATAAGTGTAGTATGTAGCGAATAAAGTAAGAATAGGAATAGAATAGAATAGAAAATCATTTATTCAAATAAACTTCATTTAAGCACTTTTGAATAGTTATTTTTTTTAAATCTACCGCTTATTCGGAGACTCAGTGGTCTAGTAATTTAGAACACCGCCTTGCTTCCGATGGTCGCGGGTTCGATTCCTCGAACGATACATACATTTGTATTCATGAGATTGTTTGTATCGGTCTGGCTATTTTCTATGTATAATATGTATATATTCAAGGAACAAAATATATCTATTTATTTGCATCAGTTATCTAGTACACATAACACAGGCTTTAGCTAGCTTAACTTGGGACTAGATGGCGCTGTGTGAATTGTCCTGAGATTATTATTATTATTATAGGTGTGTGTGTGTCTGTGTGTATACTTATTGCGAGCCTTTTAATTTACATGGCAGGTGTTATATCATTTTCATCGATTTCCAAGAT